AATTATTTTACCAAACATTTTATTTAAATTACATTATTTTATTCATATAATCTACATAAACTTTAGTTATTATGATATTTACAACAAGGTTAATTTATTTCACAATTTAATACATATTTTATTTTCTATATTTTCACATTTTACATTAAACATTTATTTTAATTAAATTATATGTTTAAACAATATTTAGGCTCTGAAGATGGCATTACGCCGAAACAGCGATGTTAGCTTTATTCCAGTTTTAGATAAATATGAACTCAAACAATACCGCCTCGTTGAATGTCTTATAAAGAAGTTAATTAATGCAAAATGGGCAAACAATTTCAATGAAATTTGCATTTCTGAAAACCTCGTTCCTAAATATTATATATATATATATATATATATATATATATATATATATATATATATATATATATATGTATGTATGTATGTGTACGTATGTATGTATGTATGTATGTATGTATGTATTTATGTATGTATGTATGTATGTATAACAACAATTCATATCTTCCAGTCAATTTACTAATAAATAACTCTATTAAAAAAATCAACTTTTGTAATATAACATAACAAACTCATCACTGATACATTTTGCATATATAGACAAGAAAGTTTACAAAATTTTAAGAAAATTGAAAAAGAGAATCTGTAAAAATTTAAATCAGCTGAAGTGATGGCTGGCTGGTTCGCTGGCTGGCTGGTTGGATGGCTGCAGTTACAACCACAATAGGTTATCCACGTCAAAGCCACATTGGTCCATCTGCTTGATTTTATTATTAATATGATTCATTCGTTCATTCATCCATCCATCCATCCATCCATTCATTCATCCAGTCCTTCATTCATCCATCCAGTCATTCATCCATTTATTCATTCATCTATTAATCTATTATAGAAACAATCTCAAAAATAATATGAATTAATTTCCCTATGAAATTGAGATATGCTCAATATACAGACAGAGAATTGGTTCAAGTTCTGCCAACTGCACGCTATGTACAGTACATTGTACATCATGATGTCAGTGATGCACTAAATGGCATCTATTAAAAAGGAGGACTTGTGTGAAATCTATTTCGTCTGGTGCCACAAAACTCACGAGATACCAACAAAACTTGGCCACAGTAATTACATAAGAAGTGATGTAAACAAGAATTGGATAACAAATTAATTTCACAAAATATTTTCAATTTAATCTTGTAAGGTGACTGATGAACGTATTATGTTTATACATATATACTTCGTAATTTTATATCATGTGAACTAAAATATGAACATACTTGTGAACTGCTTGTCTGCATGAGGGAGAGCTCCATGATATCCAGGTCAACTAGAATCAATCGGCAATCAATTCATGTCGTGAAACCCACCATGCAACCATTCGAACGCACAACCTCACAAATTCACATAAACATTGCACGCATTTCATCATTTCATCCAATAACATGATGTCCTGTGTTGCAACTAATTTACGAAATAAATTTTCAACTATATGAACTACCATCCAACTTTGAAATTGTGGGAAAATAACATGATATGACGACTAACACAACTAGCACAACGACGAACGACTAACCATTGTTATTACTGTTCATGCTGTTCATATAGATATCTGCACTGTTTGGAGCTAGACTGTATGTATTCATGCAACCTAGGAAAAGTGGTTGATTGGTAAGTTGGCTGGTCGGTTAGTTAGGGTTAAAGTTGGTTGGTTAGTTGGTTGGTTGGTTAGTTGATTGGCTGGCTGGTTGGTTAGAGTTAGGATTGATTGGTTGGTTGATTGCAGATGAAGAAGGCATCAATCAATCACATTCAAACAGCTACAGATGATAGATACACCAAACACATTCCAAAAATCACAGATAAGATACATTAAACACAGTGAGCAGATACATTAAACACATTCAAACAGCAGCCACCAGATGACATAGACCTCACTCTCTCACTCACCAAATCCACTATCTCCACTGTTCTGCCTGTAATGGTCGAGCATTTGAGAAGTGACGACAGACTCATTGGGGAGGACCATGCCACTCGCCACACCAACCACACCACCAGCACCACCGCCAATCATCCCGGCGACATCACCACCACCACCCTCGGCGGCAATGGCGTTGTTGCAGTAGTTGATGTTCATGTTGTCGCCTGGTTGCGCGTTTGATTGCCTAAGCATGTTGTTCAACATCAACTCCTGCCAATTGGTGGTGAATGACTTTGATAATGACTTTGATGATGCCATAACAATATTATGGTGATGAATATGTGATGTGAACGATGACATGAGATGGAGTTGATGATTCGATCGTACTTGTTGGGACAACTTCATTTGTTCTTTCTGAAGCCTCTCGCTCTCCATCTTCAACTTCTGCAGCTCGATCATGATCAGTTGTTCTCTTTTTAGTTGTTGTTGTTGTTGGTGGTGGTGCATGTGTTGTTGTTGTTGTTGTGATTGTGCCGTTTGGTGCTGGATTTGTTGTTGCTGTTGTTGCTGCTGCTGCGGTTGTTGTGGTTGCATCAACAGGCTGCTCATCCCTTGATATGCTACACGGAGAGAAAAAATAAAATCTCAGAATAAAAATGTGAAAACCGTGAAAATTTGAAGGTAGCTCTGCAATGAATACAATTTTGGATTATTATTATTATTCAACAAAATTAATTTAAACAAGCAAAATAACAACAAAATTAATTTTCCTCACCTTTATTGTTAGAAAAATTTCTATTGTTAGCAATGTTCATATTTGAATGTTGTTGTTTCAAGTTGGACTGCTTCAGTTGAAGTTGCTGCTGTTGTCGGAAGAGCTCCTGCTGCTTCTCTTGGTTCAATGCAAGCAGTCTCAACCTGGCCAGGTTTTCCTCTGAAATTGTGTTGTTAAGTTATTGTTGAATTGTTGATGTCATTGATGTTATCATTGTTATTGTTATTAAGCAACACTGCCATCATTCAATCAACCTGAAATGTATACATTACGAATGCATAGACAACAATCAGTCATCCTAAAGCTGACCAACCATTCAATCTTGGATCATCCCAAGTGGTTGTCCTGTTGTTGTGGTTGA